TTAATTTATTTTGTGGTCTAAGAATTTGAGGATATATATAGGAGGCAATACGGAAAGAACTTAGGCTGTTTTCTTACAAATTCACACATGCCGTATATGTATAGCGATGCTAAGGTTAATATATTGAATTTGGCAAAGTATGGCTTGTAGCTATCCATAATCCATAGATTGCCCAATATTCTTATGCACCTTTTTTGCAATCGGAAAAGTTTATACACTCCTGTACTACTTCCCGATAACAATATGGCATAGGCCAGCCATGAATGTGCATATGCATGTAAGCATTTTTCGCCCATTCAAAGTCAGTTAGCTTTTTAATTTCTCGTAATGCATACAAAAATCTTGACAATTTAATAGCAATTTTATCTACATGTTCTTTCCAATTTATATTTGAATGAATGCTTATTCCTAAGAGGGGGTAATTATCAACTAGCTCTATTTTTTCCTATTATTGAATAGACAGTTTATGTCTAGGGGGTTTCCTTGATGAGGTTGGAATTATATTAATTTTGTTTTTTTACTGGTAAGTGTGATCGCCCACTAGCGCGTCTTTCCGCACGCTGCTAAATCGCAGACGCGACAAAAACAGTCAGTCTCAATGGAGGATTGCGTTAATTAGTATTTCGGTATCATTGTGTATATTCTTCGACACCATTGTGACAACACACACAGTACCATCTCTAAGGGCGTGTCGGTCAGCTCGGTCTGCTGATTTAAGCCCTATTGAAAATTTATGGGGGCTTATGGTTCAATGATGGGACTGTCAAATTGAAGGAACCCTCATGATCTTAGATCACATGTGCTCGAGTATGGGATGATTTTAGTGGGACCGATATATGCACGCGTCTTGTTGCATCTATGCGAGATAGACTACGTGCCGTCATAGCTGCAGAGGGAGATTATATTACATATTAAATAAAGATTTTTGAAGTTTCTATTTCATCATTTCTTCATATTCTTAGTTATAAAACTAAAATATTAGTTTTTTCAATGGTTTTCTATATTTGTTTGATATCACGGCTAGTGCAGAGGTCGCTGCCTACTGCGCAACGGGTCGCGGGTTCGATTCCTGTACGGCACAGATATTTTGTATGGCCTACAGAAATTTGTCCTGGTCTGGGCGTATGTGCAATGTGCATGTGAGATTATATGTTTGTAATTACACCCACGATATAGAAGAAGATCCTAGTGTGAAGCGAAGTATTTAAGAATCCCAGCGCGAGGCGAAGTATTAAAAAAAAAACCTTGATAGTAGTCAGTCCATCTCCTAGAGCGATTGATTGTCCTACATGTGTACATGCAATTATGATCCTCAAGGTGGTAAACATTTCCTGACCGCGACCGTACATCGATAACACGAGGAAAATCGTTGATGTACAGTAAGAATAAAACACAGCCGGGGACACTGCCCTGTGAAATTGACATTGTCACTTCCTCTTTTTGAGAGCGGACGACGGTCGATGTGTCATTGCTACGTATTGATGTCTAATTTAGTATCGTGATTTTCTATTGCTACGTATTGGCTCCGATTGTTTAGGTATGAGACAAACCACTTATTAGCTTTACCTCTCAGGCCTATTCCTTGCAATTTAGAAAGCAAAATATAGTACTTAACACGATCATACGCTGTGCTTATGTCAAGCAATAAGCCAACCGCGCGTATGTAATTATAAACAGCGAGTGTTGTCGGTTTATTATTTCTGAAGCCATGTTGACTGTCATTGAATATTCCATATTTTCCCAGTATGAGTACAGACGGTTAGATATGGCATTTCAAAAATTTTGGTAATAGTGGACAAGAGTGATATGGGTCGATAATAGAACATTACAATACGCGTGACCTAAGTTGCAACAAAATAGAATTTCAATGTATCCATGAACGTTTATTCCTTGATTGGCATAGTAAAGTTTAGTTACGCGTATCGTAATGTAGTAATTCTACATGAGTGAAGTTGGTCAATTCATTTACACACCGTGCAGAAATAGGCAATTTAGGTCACGGAAAAGCGTGCGTAAAGTGCGGGTTTAGGTCACACTGTGCTTTAAATATGATTTGTGGGGCCATATTGATTGGCTTTTTATATATATGGCCTTACTATTGAAATTTTGAGCAAATCCGGAAACACGCCGCTACTAAACGATTGATTAATTAAAACTGCCCACAACGGTAGAGCTAATTTGTCCACTCCACGACTGTGAGAATTCTCACAAATCGTATCGATAAAAGATAAGATAAAATCACTTTATTGCACAACAATAATATAAATAACACAGAATACGAAACAAAACTATTTTTATTATGTTTGAAATCGAAAAAAATCGTATATAAAATATTTCTAAAGGTATATACCAAATAGATTGTAACAATAATATTATCGCAAATAGTAAAAACAATTATTTATTATTACGCATCGCAATTTCGATATAACATTGGAAATCTTGCTTTATCGTGATATTTAAGACTAACACCGTATTTTAGATTTAAATTCGTAAAGTCTAAAAAACATAAATAAAGAGCTCGCAACATTATTCTTCTCTCTGTAATTCGTCATCTCTAAGTCGGAAATGCAACGCGAAGCATCACTCTTTGCTTCATTTTGAAAATAAAAACCCCGTCCACCACAGCCGTCTCTGTCGATGCTGACTAACGATGCAACAGTGACTACAAATATTAATAATAACATAAAATCACGTCCTGTTGAGATTACTGAAAATAATCAGCAGACTTTTCCTTGTACCTTGTCGCCTTCGTCGCTTTCGGCCCCACACCAACGTTTTTAAATCAAATTTAATATAAATCCATCTTATGAAATTACTATTGAAAACTCTCTAAAATCAATAGAGAGAAAATGAGCATTTAAATGATTTTATTTATAATGCTGTTTTTGAAATTTTGGTGCAAGAGCCCCTAAATTCTAGACATATAATTACGTAATTTTTTTATTTAGCTAAACTTATACAAAAATAAACTAATAATGTGTAACAATGTTTAAAAACATCTGACAGTCTGCTATCTGTCTGTTTACTGTTGAACCCATTACCCTGTGCTACCAGGAGCATCCGAGTTCGCATCCCTGCTTGAAATGCTCTGGTATCACCGACTTTTAATGAAACAACTTGACGTTTGTTTCTGATCCGATATGCCCTTTCATTCAGATTAAGTTTACAGAATTCAGGAATTTATTTAAATAATAATGTCTTATTTTTCTTCCTATAAAAAAAACTTTGATTTTTATTGCACTATAAGTTTTAAGTTTATTTACTAATAATGATGTCTTATATCTGTTTAAATGTTTGACTTTAAGGTATGTATCTATCTTTTTATGGTGTTCGGAACAGAAGAGAAATGTATTGTAAATTAATAATGTTTGTGTTTTTTTATCCCGCATGTGGCATTCGCGTCCAAACATCATGTTCATTATGATCTGCCGCCATTTTATTCTAAATACGAACGCTCCGTGTGGTAGTTAGCAACCAACTGATTGAAAAGTTGTCCCGATCGCGCTATACACGCGGCTACGTCCAATCCAAAAATAGCTAACATAAATTGTGATTTTAATTAGTTTTATTATAACTAACTGTCAAGTTAATAGCGTATTTTTGAAAGTATTGAAACAGAAAACTCGTTTCCTCGAAAGGAATGAATGAATCGTCGCTGCGAAATGTTATACTTACAAACCTTGAACTTTGTCATTAGACAAAGCAAATTGCTTGACACAATCATAGATCGATCTTCGGCACAGTACAGAACACAGGAGCGCTTCTGACCCTTCTCAAGGTTTTTGACTGCCGCGTGCTCATGACAGAACTGAATATTATCTACGATGCTGTCAATACCACCTGACGGTCCTCTAATGAAGATCGGCTGTTTGTGTGGAGCAGGAACACAAATACACACTCTGATACAAGTTTAGCGGAGCGTCATAAATGATGAAGGTAAAGTATTTTGACTGCATGATTAGTCATTGTGTTGTGTCTTTGCGAGTGGCACCATTAGGATTTTGTTATTTTCCTCTTGGCAAATTGAAATAATATGTATGTACAAACCATGCGAAACCTACTGTAACTCATGTGGCATTTATGTGGGGATATCATTAATTCATAACAACAGCCTTTTGCTAAGAGGTTTAAAATCAGAACTTTGATAAAAATCATGATTTAAACATTCTTTTTTTGACAAACATTTTAATAGGCCAATTCTGACTAAGTATATTATTCAAAAATAATTAACATCAGGATTAGAAATGCAGCTACTTCTGACTATTTTATTCAAAGATATAAGATAACTATATATTCCTTGATATAAGGCGCTTAATAGCATATGGAAAACGCGTTAGGCCTACAGTTGTTGAGGTTAACGAACTTTCGCAGAGGTCGGTCATCGGACCCGTGACTAACACGTATTATTTCGATCTTCTCCATCCTTGGGAAAGCTCCTACATTAATAACGATATAGGAGCGATTTTCCCCTTTAGTTTGGTTCAAAAAAAAACAAGACCATATAAAAACGGGTATCCCTATCTATCTTAAAGGTAGTATAATCGCTGGCACATCTTAAATCAACTTGTATTTATAACATACGTATATACTTGTATTTATAACTTCTTAGTACACACAAAAAAAAAAAATATTAACCAGAAATAATTAGGCATATTATATTATTTCTTTTTCAAACAGAAATCTAAAATCGGGAACTGAATATCTAAAAGTATTTATGTTGAGGTCAGATAATAAATAATACCTATTGGGAATATACTAGTTACCCAGAACTTTAAGAAAGTAATTTTGTGTTTAATGTTATAGAATTCTGAAACTCCCATCAATGAGCATTGCTGCAATATACAAACCAAGGCCAACTTAGTTGTTCGATTGCGAAATAGCGATCATATAAAAAAAATTGTTGTCAACATTGTGAAATCACATTATTATTATTTTCTCACTACCTACTGAATATAAATGATCATACCAGCTGGAAATCAGATAAGCAAAATCATGTATATCGATAACCTACTCTGTATAAATGAAAAATTACTATCAATACTTTTAGTGTTTCCGCGTACGTCGCGGCACGTGGTCGTGAGTCACTTGTGTAGCTATGTCTGCTTCAACCGGTCTCATTTTAATAACAACATTGTTTATACACGGCGATGATGCCGCGCGAATATTGGCTTACTATCCGACGCCGTTAATAAGTCATCAAGCTGTTTTCCGGCATTTAACTTTAGAATTGCATAAAAGAGGACATGAACTGGTTGTGATAACAACTGACCCTATGTTTTCAAGAGAAGAAGCACCAGCTAATCTCACAGAAATAAATCTTCACGACATGTCTTACAACGCATGGAAAACTGAAGCTTCAATGCCTGCAACAGCCACGCAAGGCAACAAGGAGAGTTTTCAAAAGCAATATGCTCCGATTTATAAGCTTTTAGTTAAATTAGTAGGAATGCAACTATCTACACCGGAAGTACAGGCTCTTATAAAAGACAAGACAAAAACTTTTGATTTGATCTTACTCGAAGCGTACATAGATTCGGCTTTAGGATTAAGCCATGTGTTCAAGGCACCAGTTATACAGTTCAGTTCTGTTGGAGCAGCTGTGAATAATTTGGAAGTTATTGGGGCACCAATGCATCCGCTGTTATTTCCCACATTGGTTCACTCGAGGATTTACAACCTCACTTTATGGGAAAAGTTGACTCAAATAAAAACTTTTATCGATCATGTCTTAATTATGAAACAAACAAAAATTTACGCTGAAGAGATGCTAAAGAATGTTATAGGTCCGGATGTTCCACCTATGGATGAATTGTGGAAAAACGTTGATATGTTGTTTTTGAATGTATTCCCAATGTGGGACTTTAACCGTCCTCTGCCTCCCAATGTTATTCTCTTGGGTGGTATACATCAGAAACCAGAGAAAGACTTACCAAAGGTAATAACTTAACTTTGGCATTTGCTATAAACGTATTTGGTGGTAACAATTTTTGGACCATAGAAACATGCTGTTCAATATTCTTTCAGGATCTTAGCGAGTTTTTAGATGCATCCAAAAATGGTGTCATATATGTCAGCTTTGGGACTAACGCTGATGCAGCGCTCTTACCACCACACAAGTTAGAGGTAATGGTAAATGTTTTCTCAAAATTGCCATACGATATTTTGTGGAAATGGAACAATGATGAGCTGCCGGGACGCACTAAAAACATAAGGATTTCCAAATGGTTACCGCAAGCAGATCTGTTAAGTGAGTGTGCTAAATCAAATACTTACTACGAAAATGTCATCCTATTGGTTCTCAAAATAATGTGTCATTGCAAACGCTTATTATTCAATCATCAGGCCATTTATTTAAAACTAGTTGACCCGGCGAACTTCGTACCGCCTTTTCCACCTCGTCAGCCCTTAGTCTCGCAGTTCCTTATGACTTATTGGAAAATTAAAATAAAAAACCAGGTGCGGGTACACTGCTAGATGCAGTGTAGGATTCCGTGGTTGCCCGTCGTTACCATGTTACCATATTATATTAGAAAGAGTCTCTATGTTCTTTATTCGGAATATTATATTTAATTTCAATAATAACTCACGGATTTTTGCAAAACTTCGTATTTATCAAATCATCGTATGGCATTATGTATTGATAATGTGTGCGTTAGGGTCGTCAATTTTATTTCTATATACTTGTTAGTAAATTGGCGTGTATTTTACATCATTGTCACAATATGGAACACAAATGCTATTTGAGTGTTTTGCAAAGTGTTCCCATTATACAGTTCTACAGATTTAAGCTGTTAATCATGAATTGGAAAATTTTGTTTTATACACATCTTAATTGATTAATAACTTTCATACTTCCAGAACATCCCAAAATCAAGCTTTTCATTACACAAGGGGGCATGCAATCAACTGACGAGGCTATCGATGCTGGAGTACCACTGATTGGCATACCGCTGCTGGGAGACCAATGGTTTAACGTAGAACAGTATATGTTCCATAAAATCGGGCTATACGTTGACATAGAAACGATCACTGAGGAGAAATTTGGAAACGCCATTAAGGAAATTCTTTATAATGACAGGTAAATTTTAGTTTTGCTGGTACTAATAAGTTTATATTAATGACATGGTATTTCAAAAAATATATCCCGGTCAAGGCCTCACACTGCTTACGCAGGTAGGGCTTTTAAACATGAAGGAAGAATAAAATTAAACTATTGTTTTCTTTTTTCATCAAATTAGTAAGTTGATGAGTGGCATTACTCAAAATTAATTCTTTGATTTTGAGCAATACCATTGGTCATTTTCTACTTTCTTGCTGCTCCACCTTTATTATAGAAATTCTGGGAAAGGCGAGACGCCTTCTCCGCCACCAGGGGCAGCAGCGAGGATATATGAGGACTTTTCCCCGCTCATTTCGGCCAGCTCAGGGCTTGGTGAAATAAGCAGGGCCTATCCACTAAAACAACAGACAAATCTTATGCAGCGGTCATCCGACACGCACTCTGAGGAGTGAGGACCAAGGCCCCCTAGAGCATGTCGGAATTGCGGGTTTGTAACTGCCTTAGAGCCCAGCCGGCAGTAATCCTTTATCGGGTTCACCCAAACGTCCGATGCTCCGGAGTATCAGGAGCATCTACACAAAGGGAGGTTGTGCAATGAAAGTCTGACCCCACAGGACAAACTCGAAGCTCTCGCGTGGAGTGAGGTAAAAAAGCAGACTAACAAATATCAGTAACGAAATACGAAACTTGTTCAAGCATTCTTCGTTAAGTTTGAGGAGGAGCAGGAGGTTCAACAACTTAACATTGTGACGTGTAGATATACCACAACATGAGATAAACCACTGTTATTGTTTTTGAAGTATCTCATCAGTATTAAGACCCGCTCGAATCGCCGCATTCGATATCATTGTATTAACTTGACTGATATCAAATAATGGAAAAATGAAACAAAGAAGTGATAGTTAAAATCAAGGTCTTGTATAAAATTAGATAACTTAAATTAAACTTTATTAAATTATTTATTTCAAGAAGCATTAAACTTTAATAAGGATCTGTGGTGTTCAGTTTGTAGTTTATAAAATACTAATTATAACCAAACTAATTTAAAGACATTGTAACGGGTAGATATACCACAACATCATCAGCATATTATTGTCCTCACTGTGGGAGTGCAGGCCTTGCTTATAAATACAATAATGAAAAAGGTCTACCACGATCGACCACTGCAAATTGATGGTTCTTATGACTGCAGAAGAAACTAGTACTTTTGAACCAAAGGGGAGCTCGAAATAATTTTTGGTTACCCATCTTATGCTCGGCCATTGTAACAGTTAATTCGGCCATTGTAACAGTTAACTTCCGCAATCGCAGCCTGAACCACTGCAGCATCAAGATCCACACCACATCGTGACTATATTCTAATAAAAAACCAATAAAAATTATCTATGAGCATTAAAGTACTTCACCACAAGCTAATTAAGTATAATTTTTGTACTGAATATATGTGTCATTTCTTTCATATCTTAATATATATAAATCTCGTGTCACAATGTTTGTCCTCAATGGACTCCTAAACCACTGAATCGATTATAATAAAATTCGCACACCATGTGCAGTTCGATCCAACTTGAGAGATAGGATAGTTTAAATCTCAAATTATAGTCGCAATTTTAATTTATTGCAAATTATTACTTTTGGGCGGTACGAAGTTCGCCGAGTCAGCTAGTATGTATATAAAGATTGATGTTTATCTTTTATACATTTTTCTGTAAATTAGTCTTAAATTCTGTATAAATACAGACAAATCTGTAAATATACCAACACTGTGAGTGAATGAAATTTACTGAGTAACGGAAATATGTTTCATGAACAATAATCCGAATATATTTATAAATACAGAAAAATATGTAAATATTATGCAAGAACTGTAACGAAACTAAGCTTATTCACTATGGCAACGCTGTTATTATTAATTAGGGGAATACTGGGAGATTTGCCGAGGTGGGAGAAAAAGACCGTCTTTAAAAAAATAATTTCCATTTTTTAGCACAAAGTAAGCGTAAATTCGTTCACTGGTCACATGCAAGACTGTTTTGTTGTGATTGGTATCTTGCATGTGACCAATGAAAGAATTGACGTCTTGTTTACACAAAATTTAAATACAACTCTGAAATATGTTTTAACTCTTCCACCTGGGCAATTCTCTCGGTTTTTCACTACTAATAATATAGACTAAAATTTTGACTGTCACTACACTTGCAGTTTGCAGAAAAGTCCCCTGCTGCAGAGTGCTCCTTATCTATTAATCCAACATTTATATTGCTTTCAGTTATCGACGCAACATCAGGCGTCTAAAAACCTTAATACAAGACCAGCCTCAGACCCCCCTTGAGCGTGCCGTGTGGTGGACGGAGTACGTCATCAGAAACGGCGGCGCGCGGCACCTGCGCTCTCCAACTGCCACCATCACCTGGGCGGAGTACCTGGAATTGGAACTCGTATTCTATATACTGCTGACCATAATATCAGTGGCCATTGCTATCCTTTTTATCTGTTGTAAGATTTACAGACTATTGACTCGTACCAGTAAAAAGGTTAAAAAGAGTTAATGTTCTCTTTTTGGGGTAAGTATTCAAATTGATGAGAAATATGGACGCCTTCGCTATCGTTCATAGTGGCGTTATTCTCTCTGCTCAACGTATTCTGCACTGACATCCGCTGTGTAGTTTAATTTAATAAAATAAATAGTTATATTCTTTAAATTGTCCTTGCTTTTATTTCATCAGGTTATGGGCCGTCCCAAGCTTGCCGTAAAAAGTTATTTCTGCATTTTGGTCAGTAATTACAAGAAGTAGTCGCAAGCATAACCTAACTTTTAGTTACCGGGCTGGCGAGTGTTTTTTTTTATTTTTTAGCTTATTATATTTTAAATTGAAGTTATATACAAATCGAACATTATAAATATGGCTGGAAATAATTCATGATAGCAATTGAGAAATTAACGGGTCGTGATAATTGGGCAAGCTGGAGTTTTGCGGTCAAGGCATACCTATAACACGAAGATTTATATAGCTATGTGTTAAAAGAATCAGACCTTGTCTCAGTCAGACAAGACATCAAAGCTAAGTCAAAGTGATTTCTATTATTTCATCCGATTATTTAATTAGTTAGTTGTGTATGAACGCATGAAATAATATAGTCGCCTTCATAAGAAGTTAGAATGTTGTGTTTAGAATATTATAGGTAGTGAGTTTATATGCTGATCATAACAAAAACTGATACCTACCGAAAGCTTCCCCGCACCAAAAACGGCAATTCGAGGAAACATAAATCAACATAGGTAGGTAACTTTATCCCAGTTTCGTATACTCATACGTCATCGATCAAGCGACGATTAAATTATGACGAAAGCTAATGGATTGTAGACGATCCCTCCAATAGATGTCACATTCTCGGGTCAGATTGGTGAAGTGCTACAAGATTTATCTTTGTTTAGATTGGTTGGACAATTTTCGTTCGTTTATTGGTGACCAAGCTGATTTTATGGCAAATTGTATGTAAGCTCAATTGGCGTCTTCTGGAATTGGTAATTTTTATTGGCATTTGGTTGGGAATTTCAAATTCATTTTATTTCTGATAGAAAGCTGCGTTTTGATGAATTAAATGATTTATTTGTTGACGCCATTAATCTGATAATTAAATGTAAAAGTTCTAGATTTTTGGTTCAAAGCTTTTACTTTGGCAATTAAACCTTTGGCCTCAATTACTTTCTGCTGTCTGGAGATATTTCCACGACAGAGGACCACTGTAAAATAACATTAACTTTTAGTAGTAATAATTAAGTTTCCAAGACTGCACGGCAATAAGTGATTGGCACACTATTGCCGCGTCAACTGTTTTCACGTTAACAAGTGGTATGTAGTAATTCACTAAACCCATTGAGAAGAAAAATGTTATAATGTACTTAATGTAAATTTATTTACTCAGTAAGATTACTGCAAACAGAAAATGTGATACGCCTAGTTTAGTAAAACAAAATGTTTTGGTCCTTTGGGTCAAACATCATATCGATGACGTGAAGAACAATAGCCCGTATTATGTTCATGAAATAACTAGTGACCTCGATTTCTTTCTCCCAGCATAATATACCTATTTATAACTTACGTAAACTGTGACCTTGTGTAAAGGGGCGATTCATTGAACTGAACAGTTTAGCTCGGCAGAATTTTGCGAAAATTCCCTCGCGATTCGGCTTAACAGGGGTCAAGCTTTGAGATAAATTTATTATTTTGTTTCCGTATATATTTTACTTACACCTTTAATATTACAAATACTGAAAACCATCTGTATATCTGAAACAATAAAAAAAAAGCTCTTCATCAATTAACTACCATCCACGAACTTCATGAAAAACAGAATTTAATAATATTTTTTCTCTTTCGAACACAACATAATTGTCTTTTTTAAACATGTTCTCGTTGCTAATGGCCTCTCCAGATTGCAGATAAGGAATTTCTCTCTGACAACCAGATCTTGTGTCCCTTTCCAGGACATTTCCAAGAGCCATCCATCAATCAGAAATGGATTATGTAATAAATGACGTACGTTGATAGATGACAAACTATTTGACCGTCGCTGAAGGTCACGGGTGCTCATTTTTAGTATCAGATGGAATCTGTTCGCCTTGTGATATCTTTTTCTTTTGAATTCCATATTATCGGGCAAGTTCGAGGTACCTTATGTTATTTACGGGGTTGCTACCACGTACCTTTTTTTAGCGAGTCCTCGATATTTCGGCACTCGTTCAAGCGTCAATATCACGGAGTAACCGAAGTAATTGCGGGTAGGATGTTATTAGCAAACTATCGGTCTACCCTCTGACGAAGTCTTTTATTGCGTTCAATACCCGTACCACTGTTCAAGTCGCTGATAATTTCCTTACACCATAGACTACATATAGTTTTTTTAACACACACCAATTAGCCATAGTTCAAAAGCAAGTTTCCCATTTTCTTCTTTCGAATAGCCTCCTAAACAGCTTTCAATCTGGGTTTCGGTCGGGTCACAGCACGGTCTCTGCCTTAGTGAATGTCACTGATGATATACGCTGATCAATGGAAAACAAAGCGTTAACTGCACTAGTATTGCTAGACTTTGGCAATGCATTTAATTCTGTCGACTTCGATATTCTCCTTGCCATTCTTCGTTCCTTAAACGTCTCTACTTCTGCTCTTTCTTGGTTCGGTTCAATCTTCGGGGTCGCTCGCAGAATGTTCGCCTTGATGATTTAACCTCTGATGGGTGTGACCTCTGTGTTGGCGTACCTCAAGGAGGTGTTCTCTCACCACTCCTATTCTCTATTTTTATTAATTCTGTTACTAGAGTAATTTCCTCCAAGTTTCATCTCTACGCAGACGATTTGCAGCTTTATCGTCATTTCGATATTGACGAAATGGACTCCACGATAGCAGCCATTAATGAAGACCTAAGCCGTATTAGTACTTGGGCACAATTTTATGGTCTCTCAGTTAATCCAAGTAAATCCCAGGCAATTATCATAGGGAGTAGGTTTATGTCACGTTCCTGCCGTTCCTCTCACTTGCTGCCAGTGTCCATAGGTGGAATCAACATCCCCTACAGCGACACGGTGAAAAATCTCGGCGTCACTATTGATACCAACCTCTCATGGACAGCTCACGTCGCTAACGTTAGTCGTAAAATGTATTTTTCGCTTCACTAAAATTGCCCTTGCACAATCTCTTATTCTCCCACTTCTCGACTATGCCGATGTTTGTTATTTAGACGCTACGGAGGCATTACTTGATCAACTTGAGCGCCTGCAGAATCTTGCTATTCGATTCATTTTTGGGCTTCGTAAGTATGATCACGTCTCCAACTTTCGAACGGAACTCAAGTGGCTCCCCATACGTCTGCGCAGGAATGTCAGAATCCTTTGTTTCCTCTTCAATATCCTTTACAATCCTTCTTATCCTTCCTATCTTCGGGAGAGGTTTTCTTTCACCCACTCGCCTAATGTTCCTTGCAGGTCTCATCTCAAATCGGTCCTCAAATGTCCTATTCATAAAACCGAATTTGCGTCATACTCTTTCACGGCACATGCCGTCCGCTTATGGAACTCGCTGCCAGCAGGAATCAGAGACAGTCCAACTGTTGCTACATTTAAAAAACGGTTGAAGGAACACTATCTATCCTCTCGACTCACTGTTTCCGAACTGTATTGCTTCTCCTTTTAACACTTGTAATTTCAATTTAATATATATGTTTATTAGTATGTCTATGTAGATATATATGTAGGTTTTGTTTATATAAGTATTGTATTTTGTTATTTTTATTCAGGAGGCACACACTGAGGACCTTTTATTTTATGTTTTTTCCTTTCGCGGGCCTGCTGGAAGAAATTTCAATATGAAATAAGCAGTGCCCTTGTACAAATTTCTTGTTCCTGTTCTTATCTATTTTATTGTGTGTGTACTTAATTAGTAAATAAATAAATAAAATAGCTTGGCACCAGAGTAAGCACGATATAAGGCTTGTGTTATGGGATACTAGGGGATATAGTTTACGATGCGCACAAATATTTGACCTCCTAACTTCACACTTAGTGATCATCACTGTAAAATAGGTACTGACCATCAGGGTGTTTGTCCTGAAATTGTTCACTTGAAACTGTTCTCGACATACAAGATTTACAGTATTGTATCGTGACACGACACTTTTTTGATTATTCTAGTTTTGCACGTACTGACCACTGGTTTCCAGACACTCCAAAATTTGAACCCTTCCTTACGATTGAAATTTTTATATTTTGTTATTTCAATCGATCTGAGATTGGTCTGGGAAGCAATTTAAAATAAAAAAATTATAGTTTTTGTAATTGGATAACTATAACATTTTATCCAAAACAGATATTATAGTTTTGAAATATCTGCCCTTAATTACATTATGAACGTAACCTATGTAACATTAATAAGACATTCAGCACCTTCGAATCCGGTACCTCAAGATAATTTTCTTAGATGTATGTATATTTGTATGTATGTATATATATATATATATATATATATATATATATATATATATATATATATATATATATATATATATATATATATATTATAAAGACAATTAAATAACAATTGAAATTCTGCTGCAAGCTACATTCTTAAAAGAAACCTGAAAACATTGTCTTAATCTTGATTTCCTACTTAATGAAATACAATAATTATATACTTATTAGCAGCTCTTCTGGAGCACTATAAATATATTTTATTAATTACCCAGCTAAAAGTCGTCTTTTGGCTGACGAGTAAAATTCAACTAACTCCAACTACTTGGCACTGGATAAGATTACAAATAAAGTTATTTAGTCATTTAATAAAGTTGATTTAAATAGGTAACTTTTAAATAAAACTTGTTGTAATTAAAATTATCTCTCAGAAACTTTACATAAATTAACAATGACAGTCTCCGTGTGGTCGCTGTTAAAAGACCTAAATACACGGCTCAAAGTTTAATGAAAAGCCCCGAAAGTCTTCGCTGGCACATAGTACGCTCCCTCAATAAACACAGTTAAGCGCTGAACCGCTTCATTTTCTCTTGAACGTTTCCGGGTTGAAAGGAAGCGCTTTGTCCGCTCTAGGTGTCATTTTGATTTATTACTCTAGTTAAGTTAGGTGTTGGTTGAGTACTCCAAATTCGCTCTTGTCACCGGTGGTAGACGCTTCATTTATCATGGGGAATATGGCGGTGTTACAAATTGCTGCAATAAAATGAATAGTACTTCACTTTTCATAACTGATTATATTAGGGTAGGAGTTAATTGCATTTGAAAGTGTTACGACTAATGGACCGATTTAACTATTTTTTTCCTTATTCCGCACGTAAAGAAGGACCGTGCGCAATAAATGAAGTTTTCGTAAGCTAAGGAATTGTGATTTCTTCCATTTACAAACACTGCAGCAAAATAAAGGTAGTGAATTCTAATTCAAAGAGCAAAGACAATATCTCTGTTATGAATGCAACAACGTAGTAGCATAGAATAGAATTCTGACCGCATTCTAAGTCGTATAAGTGCTCTGACACAATGCGCTCTAAAACTATTATTGCATTCAAACATTACAGCATTTATAGCACTTGTTTTAGCCACGCTCCTCCTTGCCTTCGGACGGTACAGCTTCAACTTGAATTCCAAATTGCGTTGGGTATTGTGTTGTTGGCTATACGCGGCTGTCTTTTAGTTAATGATTAAATACAGACTGAAAGCAGGTTCGGCTGTTCCATACATTAAAATGAATATGGAAGATAATAAAAAAAGAATATGCCTGTGACTTGTGAATAATAATGTCAAGAAACCTAGTACGTGCACGAAAAAGGCGCAACTCAAAGTGAGCCAGATATGGCTTAGTACGTTCTGTTAGTGCTCAACGGCATCGTGTCGAAAATTGCTCGCAAAAAAAATAGTTAATATATATGGAGAATAAAATAAAGTGAATGAGTATACATTTCACGCATAATTTATACATTTCATGTGCGTCATCATCATCAGCCTATTAATGTCCCCACTGCTGGGGCACAGGCCTTCCCTATGGATGGAATAGGGAGATTGGGCCATGACCCACCACGCGGGCCCAGTGCGGATTGGCGGGTGCTAACGACTGCAGATGCAGCCAGGACCAGCGGCTTAACGTGCCTTCCGAAGCACGGAGGAACTCGAGATAGAAAATATTTGGCCACTCATCCAATGACCGACCACTGCGAAAGTTGCTTAACTTCAACGATTGCAGCCGAACGCGCTAACCACCTGCGCCATCGAGCTCCTCTTCATGTGCGTATATCCACTATAAATCAATTATTTATTCTTCACACAACTTTAACAAAACAATGTTGCTAGTTGTGGGAAAAATATTATGGACAATATTTTAATTGATTCATAGGTAAAGTACAATAACAATATTTATTGAAGTATACTTTTCTGCGTATGTCTGAAAGGTATTTATTTATATAAAACTAATATATTGGTGTAACCAGCTCGATACAAAATAATTTCTTCATAAATTAAGGGCTGAAAAGAACAACTTTTGTCCTTGAAAATTAACTTCAATTATAGCATATAATAATATACGTTACCGGCTATCTGTATAATTCAGGTATTCTATACAATACCTATGCAATGGTTAGATTGACTGGGACCTCTAGGCAATGTTTGAAGTTTCGAGTGAATAGTGAGATTGTGAACAGTGGTATGGGTATCGAACGCAATAAAAGACTTCGTCGGAGGGTAGACCAATATATCTGACAATAACAGCCTACCCGCAATTAATTCAGTTACTCCGTGATCATGGCTTGCAACAGTGCCGAAATATCGGAAACTCGCTATAAACAAGGTACATGGTAACACTCCCGTAAACAACTTATATTACTATAATGTATTCAAAGTTACAAAATTCTTATAACTGTATTCATAAAACTCTTCTTAGATTTTGTCACCTCAGACGGGAATTTGTTTACTACTTAAGGCTTCGTGCTTACTTCGCCTCAATGTTCCCGAGCCTGACCTATTTTACCAAGTAGATGCTTCTCAAATCGCACAAAGGATGGGCGTGGGTATTTATATCTCACCGAAATACAGTATGTGCTTGTTATTGTCTAAATTTTAGAAACTCTCAGCGGCTAAATTTATGTTTGCAAAGAAATTATTGTTAATATACATAGTTACACTTTACGTAGCAATTTTAGTTTCTTGCATAAATTTATTTACAGATTTGCGTTAACTTAGATCAGGAAGTACAAGTTTATGAGCAGCAGCACAGGACGGTCCCTCGAGATACAAATAACAATTCAGAACTTGCACAAGCTGGATTAATTTATAGATGCAGTCCACCCTAAGGATGGCGCTTAAAATACACTTCATCTATTTGTTACACATATTTTATTAAATATTGTATTGACTTAAATGTTTGTTTTTTTATCGCAATCTTTTATCGTATCGCTATGCAGGCAAACGTGCTGACTGACAGTCTAGTATGGTTTTAATAAAATTTGGTATGGAGTTAGCGGACACCCTAGATTAACATATCGGCTACTTTTTACTGCGGGAAAATATCCCTAATAAACCGCGGGCACAGCTAGTAAGAGAATAAATATCTATGGAAAATCAGGAAATTTTTGAAAATGGTTTCCTCAATCAAAAAATCCCTAAAATTCCCAATCTCCTTTCAATAACTTTTACTTTAAGTGTATCAGCGAAATTTAAAACGAAGTTTATTGTTTGTCAGGGTTGCCATGTATTTTCCCAATTATTCTCCAAACACAGACATCCCTTAATCTCTCAGTACCCTACGAATTCTTAGGAAATTAGGAATATTTCTGATATACGTTTCAATGGAGGAGCTCGATGGCGCGGGTGGTAAGCGCGTTCGACTGCGATAATTGAATTTAAGTAACTTTCGTAGTGGTCTGTCATTGGATGGATGACCAAAAATCTTCTATCTCCAGTTTCTCCGTGCTTCGGAAGACACATTAAGCTGTTGGTCCCGGCTGCATCTGCAGTCGTTAGCACCCACCAATCCGCACTGAGCCCGCGTGGTGGGTCATGGCCCAATCTCCCTATTCCATCCATAGCGAAGGCCTGTGCTCCAGCAGTGGGGACATTAATAGAATAATGTAAAATAAATCTTTTTCGTTTTAGCAGACTAGTGTTTAATCAAACCTACTCTTATTTAACGAACAACGAAACTTCAAATGAAACTTCGCACGTTTCTTACTATATTCATTGTTCGTTTGTAATTATGATAAAATTCGTTCGCCTGAAAATAAGCTTCTACGAAAAATGAATTAACTAGTTATATTTTTCAAGTGAACACTTCTTTGTACACTTTTTTTTTGTATGGGTACAAAATGTAAAACTCCCGTCAGGTTAAACACGTGGGCTGATCGCATCATGACGCACAATAAAATTGGAAAGGTTGTTGACTTTCCATATATTGGACGAAACATAGTAATATTCTATTTTACCGTATTATAATAATAAGTCTCTATCTAGGACGTGCACGTGGCGGCTTTATTGCGAAGAAATTGCATTTTTTTACAAAGATGTCGCTAGGTGCGCTTAAACGTGATTCATGTAACTTGATTTTTCTGAGAGATAAACTATTTAATGTGATATAAATTGTCATGTTTGTGTACGATAGCGCAATAAATAAATATTGTATTCTACCACATACATGACAGTACTTTTATACTGAAAATTAAAGCGATTCGTGCAAAATTATTCCCTAACCATTCCAAAATATGAAAAATGCACAACGTTAATATTAAAGTTTTCACTTCTGCCAGCACTCCCGGAGTGCAACCCGTCGTTTTTTTTTATTTTTTAACCACTGAATTAACTAGTTCATCGTTCAAATATGACCTCAAATAGACGAAATTTCGTTTGAATTTCGTTAGGTTCCGAAAGTTCGTTTCGGGAAAAGACAGAAGACCCTCCATTCGCTATTCACTTTCCAAACGAATGCACCGATTGTAATCCAACAAATAACTTAACAACGTAAACAACTTTTATGCTTTCATAAACTCACTTAATAAAGTTAAACGTATAAAAAATCAACAATACAATTGTAGGCTACTTTCGAAGTTATATCTGACGCATTTTCGTAACGAAAATGTTTAATAAAAACCAAAACTAAAATAACTTATTAAACCAAAAATCTCGACCCATTTAGAAAATACACGAAAGTTCTAAAACGGAACGCAAAAAGTTTATATTTTTCTGTGTAAACGATTACAATAGGACAAAGCAGACAATAGGGAAAATGGAAATAATACAGAAACATGTGAACACTAATAAATAAAGATTACGCTGAAATATCCGAACCGCTACGACCTTTACATTGGGGCCATGGTTTAAAGCGATTCTTGTTTTACTCAGATCACATTGAGATCCGTGTTTACTAAAAGAAATAAAAGAGTATCTTAGAATCTATCATCATCTAACATATAATAAAATGTTAGGAAAGTCAAAACTGTACATTGAATATTTTTTTTAAAAGAATACTTGGGGTGTGATCTACAATTGATA